ACAAGAGCCTGAAAGTAGATAATCAAGATTGTTTTTTTTCTTCCTTCCCATTGGTAATGTTCTTCCTTTTAAGGCAACTTTGTTTTCTCAACAACTCTGTCAAAAAAGTTCATTGTTTCCCTTTACTTACAAACCAAGACCAAGGACAGTCATGTGGCACGGTGGAAATGATACAATTAAGTCCGTGGCTGAACTGTAAGCAGAACCGAGGATGCTCAACTGCTCGCCTGGTGCTCTAACTAATGGATCACGCTCCCTGCTATGTAATAGGACTGTTTTCTTTAATTACAAATTCTTCATTCACCATCAGGTTATCAGCCAGAGGCTTTACCATTAGTTTTCCTCTTCTTGTAATCATGGCATGGGTCCAGGAATATCAGATTTCCTTAAAAAATTATATATATCTATATAACTCTATCTATATCTATATCTATATCTATATCTATATATGGCACTCTACCACATCTGGACATTTCAGCTGCAGGGGCAAGCGTCCTTTTCACCAAGCTTGCACTTAATAGTGCATTCACATTTTTAACATCCCTTTTCATTTGGTCCATGACCCAGATAAAACGGCTTTCATTTTCACGGGTTCTAATATCAGTGCACTTAAAAGTCGGAAAAGGGTGCAATTCTACAGCCTCATCAGCCATCAAGATCCAGACACGTGAGCTGTGTGCAAAAACCTAGTCGGTAGCAGGTTGTTAAAGACACTTTTTTGGGAGTAGTCGTGATACTGGGAAGGAGAAGAGGAAAGGAGAAGGAAAAAAAAGAAAAAATCCTGAGCCGCTGCTTGCATTCTGTGCTCAAATGTGAGAGAGAAAAACACACCGGGCAAACAAACAAAGTCGATCTCTGAGAGGTACTGAGACGATTGCCTTTGAGAAGCACTTTCCCTTCTCTTTGGCACGGCACGGCAGCAGTAGCGGAGCAGCGCTGTCCTTGGTGCTGATTTCTCACTGCTCTCAGTGTCTCCTCGGAGCCAGAATACACTGGCTGTTGCTGCTCATGCTGGGAGACACCTGCACTGGCTACCAGGCTTGTCATGACGCACAAAACCCTACCATCTTCAGCTTGACATTGTGCAAGTTATAATTATTCATCCAAATGAATATGTCAGAGCAGCAGCGGCAAACCTCTCATCAGAGCAAAAGAAAAATACATCAAAACATTATCAACCCAGCGGGAAGACAGAGACCATAAGGAAAATTACCCATTTTTAATATGGATGCCACAAAGCCCATGTCTATTCTTTTGAAAAAAAAAAAAAAAAAAAGGAAGGAAAATAAAGATCCTCCAAGTTTAAAGTCCAGAAACATGGACTCTGAAGAGGAAATGCACAAAAGGAGACCAGGGTGTTCTTTTTTTTATAAAATTGATTCTTTAAAATCTATTTACAGTTTCTTAAATCTAAGTTTATTATCAGTCTACAACAAGAACATTTATGCTGCTTAAGACTCACAATTGTTTAAAAATAAAAAATACCTCCTACTTAGAGAATTGTTTCCAAGCAGTGAATCAAAAAGAATCATACACAGCAAAGAAGTCTGTCACTGTTTCTTTCTTTCAAAAGTAAATCAATATTGGCAACACTCTTATGTCTAAAAGACTCAAGAATTCATCTTGCTTATATTATAAACAGAATGTTTATAATTTCATGCTGGACTCTTAAAAAGTAAATAGTAGTTTTATCTTTTTAAAAAAGATAATAGTTTTTAAAATATTTTATGGCATGTTTTAAAACGGGGAGGGGGGAACCCTCTGAAATTGCTTCCTGATTTCCACAGATGAAAAAGATATATCCATATTCTATAATCATATCTAAAACAGGAAAATGTAAATGTAGATTCTATCTCATAATTAAATGAATGTAGGGAGGGGTAAAGAGAAACTTTTGGAGGAAGGATAGAAAAATATCTTTTTTAGATTAAAATACTGAAAGCGTTTTTATTTGATACGCAAAATGAAGTTAACATGAGAGACATTGATAAATGTGACGATGTGAACAGTTAAACTTCTGTGTCACAAAATACATCAGATACAAAGTTAAAAGATGTGTTAGAGGAAGAACATATTTACAACCTAACAGCCGAAAAAGAATTATTGTCAACATATATAAGAAATGCTTAAAAGCAGCTTCTTTTTATAAAATAGGAGAGATTATGAATACAACGACAGTGTACAACATTTTTTGTAAGAATTAAAATTCCCAGGGTAGGAGTATAAATTTATGTAACTATTTTGGGGAAGGCAACTGAGGAGTATTTTGCAACTTTGAAAAGATAGAATCCCTGTAACCCAGCACATTCACTCCCAGGTACAACCCAGAGGTGCACAAGAAAATACACACAAAGATGTTCACGGGCTCACCATAAAGACAATCAAGAAACTACAAGCAAGCTTTCAGCAGGGCAATAAGTATCTCTTCAGCAAGAAATAACATAGAACACTTAAAGGTTCTAGACACAAATATATGATGGATAAATCTCAGCAATTATGTTGCATTTTCTGTCACAATGAAAATGTTAAAAGTAAAAAAAAAAAAATCACAAATATTTTACACACCAACTTCAGGAAAGTTACCAACTCTTGAAAAGGAAAGAAGGTAAGTTCTTACCTGTGCCTAGTACATTTTAAGAGAGAAAGAGATGTAACTGAGGTAAATAAAGCAATGTATTACCATTCCTCAAGTTTTAATTATAGTTATTAATGAGTCTTAATTTTTCTTTTTTGCTAAAAATAATTGATATATTCCATAACTGAAAAAAGATGTCATCACATTCTTCTTACTATTTCTAATTTTCTGAAGTAGTACAAAATAGAGATTCTATTGTATGACACAACTAAATCTAAAACTTGAGTTTGATTGAATATAACCACTGATTTTATGCTTTTTTTATACATGCAAGGCAAGAGCTGGTGTAACAGGGGTATACATTTCTTTTTAAAATAACCTGAAGAATTTCCAGTAGAGCCAAGGAAAAGTGACAAATTAATTTTGTCCAAGGCCAGAATAAACCAATTGTTTAAATAGCCCTTGTGTGGAGATTCAAACTTTTTCACAGATTAAAGACTGAAGAAAATCTTTGTTCTCTATGTAAGAAATACTAAGAAATACAACAAAAAATACTCAACTTGAAAGTGTGATAAATATTAAAAGGTAATGTAGAGACAGTTTATCTGAAGGGAATAAATAATCTAGGTATATTTTCTCATGGTATTACTTAAAACACAATGAAAAAATTACGGAACCATATACAAAAATATTAAAACAATACATATATTTGTGCATGTAGATATACACATATAATTACAATTATATCTTAAAAATCAACGCAATATTTATGAAAACACATTTATTAAAATACTAAAAGTAAAGCCTAAATTTTTCTTTCTCCTTTATTTTATCTTTTCTCTTTTATTTGTATATACTTAAGATGTAAGCATAAAGATTTATTTGAACCTAATCAAAATTGCTTGACTAAAAAAAAAATATAGACAGTTTCTATTTAGAGAATATCTGTAAAATGTTGCTGGGAATTCTATTCTTTGCCTACGACTAGAAATGCGCTCTCCAATTTGCTCCTGATAACACAACTGAGACGGTGAAAAGCCAAGGCTTAGTTAACAACAGGATGCTGCTTTTTTAACCTAAACGCCTCTTCCCCCCAGCTTTCCAAAGCACACATGGGGTGCTGATAATAGCTGTTAATCCTACGTCCCGAATCTCCAGAGCGTGACACTGTCCACAGTGCTCTGAGCATTGTCTTGTTAGATCTCACCAACAGATTGAGATAGTAAAGTGGCTTAAGAAGGAAGACGAATTTCCTCTGTCATTCTATAAGACTGTGCACAGTGTCCTAGTATAGATTATGAGTAGTCAGTGTTGTACATGTGGCTTAGAAAGCTAAGGTGGAGAGAGCTTTAGGTTCCAAAAGCACAATCCTGAACTAAGCATTGGCCTTCTCTCATCTCAGCCACAGCAAACTGGAAGACACGCTTCTAGTCATAGGCAAAGAGAAAAAGAATCCTTAGCAACATTTGACAATTATTCTCTAAATAGAAGTCACCCATATTTTTGCCCAGCAATTTTTAGTATATTCATGTAACACTGTATGCTTATATTTTAAATATTTACCAATAAAATAATCATCTTGTACATGAAATTCATTTTTAAAATGCCGAAGGATTTAAAAGGACTTGTGAAGATTTATTTAAATGTCCTGCATTTGTTATAACACTCCTATATGACTAGTCCAAGGCGGGGAGGGGAGAGGGGCAGAAACAGTGTAAATTGAAGACTGAAATAAGAATTAAAACTTTTAAAATAGCAAGGTTCTGCTTTTCACTTCTGACAGACTCTCTGGTGAAAAAATATTCTCTGGTATTATGTCATCAGAGCGAAGTTTTGGCCATATGTGAAATTTCACTCAGTTGTGCACTTACTGCTCACTGCTTTATAATTATAGTTCTGCAGGGTTTAAATTTAAAGGAAACTTTCCATCAAAAAATTGTCGGTTTACCTAAAATGAAGCACACAGGTTTGGAGGGTGAAGGTATAGTTGGGGGGAGGGAAGTGTCTATGTACAAAAATACAAGAACTCTGGAGGAAGAAGGGGAGAGGAACAGGGGGACAGACTGAAAGGACATTCCATGCGGTCAGAACAGGAGTTGGAATCCTCTCATTCCCACGCATTTCCAGAGCCTGTAAACCACACAGGACACTACCCAGCTTTCTCTTGTGGTGCAGCTGATGGATTCGAACCACCTGCCTTTGGGTTGGAAGCACAACTCCCTACTGACTCACCACTAAAGCTCCCAGAGAGGACGCTGATTAAGGAAGGCAGAGAAATACTAACGAAGTATTCCAGAAAACCCATTTATGAATGTATCTTTTAAATACATTGGGGGTGGGCGGGGGGAATTTACAATACATAAGGACCACTCACAAGGAAATACAATATATTGTGAAGTACTGAAAATATTAAGGAAGTATTTACCTGTGGTGTCCAAGACACAGGAAATGGAACTGGAAAATCCACCAAACAATCTGGTGCTTCTTCTGGATACTATGGGGGGAAAGCATAAAGTTAGGGCACTTGCACTTGGTTGAAGCAACTTAAACGAGGCATTTTGGAAAAGATGAAGGTGGTAGGGAAATGTCAAACTCTAATATATCAACATAATTTTGAACAAACTATTGACTAGAGTGATGGCTGAGTTAGTTAAAAGTCCACCTACATTCAGGAGGTACAAAGTGAGGTGATGTGGGGTGTACAGATAATCAGTACTGAGGAAGGGTGATGAGTTAAGGTGTGTTACATCAGCAGTTAATAACTGATTTGACAGGGGAACTATCTTCATAACTCACTCTCTCTCTCCCCCTCTACCCCCTCCTATTCTTTCCCTCCCTCTCTTTCTCTCGTTCTGTCTGTCTTATCTGTCTGTCTATCTATCTATCTATCTATCTATCTATCTATCTATCTATCTATCTATCATCTATCTATCATTCATCTATCTCTGTCTCTCTCTCCCCACCCTTTCTCTCTCCCCCCAATTAGAAGCCTAACTAGTTGTTATTTAAGTTCCTTCTAGATCTAAAATTTAACCTCAACTTGTTCCAATCATCTAAGTCATATTTTTTAAAATAATTAACAAATGTATAATGTACATCTATTTCTATAAAGTAAAAATTCAATCTCACTGGTGTGGAGTTAGAATCAACTCAAACGCAAACCTCCAGCAGGTTTTCAGAAGCTGTAAGTCACATGAGAAGAGTCTGCCCATCTTCCCCGCCCCCGCGAGCTGCTGGTGGATTCGAACCATGGCATTTGGGTTAGCAGAGCAGCGCCTTGTGAATTATGACAACAGAGCATCCACTAAGGTAACAGTAGTAGTTAGAAAGAAAGACTCTGAAGGAAGAAAAACCTGATCAAGGTTGATAAAAGAAAATTAATTTTTCAATAGTTACACAAAAATGGGTCTCTAAAATGTTACCTCTCCTAACATAGCCATGAGGGCAAATGAGTTAACAAACATAAAAAAGGTCATTTTTCTTAAAAGCAATGTGTTCTCATTAGAGAATTATACTAGTTAATTTCTTTAAAATTCACGTTTACAATCCCTCAAAGTCATAAGTAATTTAAAAGTACTCATTTTTCCATTAAAAAGTTAAATATACCCAAAGAAAATTCATTTTAAGAAAACACCTTTCATTTGATAAAATGCACAAAATATGATTTAGGCTTTTCAATTTTCTTTCAGTCTCAAATTATTTCTTAGTACTTTACTAGATAAGTAAAAAGGACCATCCCGCAAAACAGAACAAAAAACACAGCAACAACAACACAAACATCACCATATCCCTATAGTATAGGGAGCTCTAGTGTCTTAATGGCAAGAAGCTGCACTGCAATCTTGAAGGCCCGCAGTTCAAATCCATCAACTGCCCTGCGTGAGATGGATGAACAATCTCCTTTCCTGCAATTAACTGCCTCTGAAAACCCACTGGAGGGTCAGCTACATGTCAGTTTTGACTTGACAGTACACAACAACAACCCCTCAAGTATTTAAGGATCATTGTCCCATTTCAAGTCAACAGTTTTTAAACAGCATTTAAGTATAAAAATGGGTTGGCTTAAAAAAAATGAATAAAACCAACGCCATATAAAACCCAAACAAGTTATAAAAATCCAACTTATCATCAATATACCTCCTGACTAATAATAACGATGTAGACTTGAGAACACAAAGGTAAACAGATAAGAAACCATATGAAAAAATATAATGCTTAACTAGAGGGTATTAACTACAGAGGGTGAGGTGGCAAGCAGGCCAGGAATATATGAAGGGAGGGTTGTTATTTCAAACAATGCAAAACAAATTCAACAGAACAGCAGACAACAAATGCTGGTGAGGTTGTGGAGAAACTGGAACTCTTATTCACAGGTGGTGGCAGTGTAAAATGGTACAACCACTATGGAAGTCTGTATGGTGCTTTCTCAAAAAGTTGTAAATAGAAATACCATTTGACCCAGCAATTCCACTACTGGGAATATACCCCGAAGAAACCAGAACTGCCACCCAAGCAGATATATGCACACCCACGTTTATTGCTGTTTTGTTCACAATAGCAAAGAATTGGAAACAACCTAAGTGCCCATGGATAGAGAGGCTGTGGTATGTTCACACAACAGAATACTATGCAGCACTGAAAAACAAGGATCTCACAAAATATACAAAATGGGTGACCCTGAAGGACATTATGTTGAGTGAAATATCTTGCTCACAAAAGGACAAATACTGCATAGTGCCACTGTTATAAAATAGGACTGACACTGGGGTTGGAGAAAATTAAGAAAAGAGGGAATAATGTACACTGCATTTAAATAAAGGAGGGGAGGACTGTTTAAAAGAAATATATGATTAGGTATTATTTGCATGACAAGAGTCCAGCATATGAGCTGCATTTTAAAGTGGACTGGGGGGTGAGGGGACCATATAACAATGGGAAAAAAATTTTTTTCTTTTCAAAGAGAAAAGTAAACTGGGTGGGGAGGGGTTGGCAGGAAGGAAAATGTTCAACAATGAATAAATGGAAATCCAAGTTCTCTATAAACTCTCAATAAAATAAAAAAATAAACAATACAAAATATCAAAAGGATATACTGTAGAGAACAGCACTGCAATCAAAGGGAAAACTCCATGTATTTTACTTACACATCATGTGATTATCTCAAAATATATGTAGACAAAGACATAGGTTTCCTCTGGCTCCAGATTTATTAACTAGTATGTCTGATTTTTAATTCAAGTCACTTAATAACCCTTAATAGGGAGCTCTGGTGGCCTAGTGATAAGAAGCTGTGCTGCGATCTTGAAGGCATGTGGTTCAAATCCACCAGGAGAAGAATGGAACATCTCCTCCCATGTAATTAACTGCCTGTGAAAACCCACCGGAGGGTCAGCTCTGTGTTGGTTCGAACTCTACGGGACACAACAGTAACAACAACAATAGCCCCGGTGGATTCAGTCGTAAAAATTAAGAAATTCAACATGAAGTGGTCTAAAACCTCTTGCGTTCAAGAATTCCATTAATAATAATATTAACAGTAATGCTGCACAGTCAAAGCCCCCACAGGTAATAAATGAAAAATTTGGTTCCATGTGAGTTTGTGCTCAATCACTAACATAAAGGTTGGCAGTGTGAACCCACCCAGATGATGGGTCAAGAGAAAGGCCATGTGGTCTGCTTTCATATAGACTGTTATTACATATCAGTTAAGCCAGAAAAAATTCATAGAGGCCTCTCCAGTGGTGTTTCAGAGGCAATACGTCGCATGGGAGGAGACTGACCATCTTTCTCCAGTGGATCAGCTGGTGGATTTGAACAGTGTTCCTTTGGGTTGGAAGCACAGCTCTTTACCAGTAAGCCACGAGAGCTCCCTTTGACCTAGATTACAACCAGCCAAAGGCTACGAAGCAGTCTTCTGTGATGTGTGAGGTCGCCATAAGTTGAAACTGAGTTGATGGTAACAAACAGGCATGGTTTGAGGTTTGACGCCAACTCTGAAGCACATCACCTAAGTCAAGTTTAACAGGTAAGTCAGCTCAGGTAGAGGGGACCCAAGCTAAGAATCATTTAGTGTAGGGGCCAGTCCTTGAAAACAGACATCATCCTTGAAAAGGCAGATGGTCAGAGAAAGAGGAAGACCCTTAACAAGGTGGAATGATACAAGGACTGTATAAGTTTATCAGAGATGGTGGGTCAAGATGTCACAGGATAGGGCGAAGTTCAGATCAGTTGCTCATGGGTTCACTCTGAGTTGTACTTGACTTGACAGCACTTTACAACAACGACCAAGTTAAAAGCCTCTCGCCTTAAAAGACACTAAGTACACACTCTTAGTGCTGAAAGAGAACAGAGAGGCTACATTCCCGTAGAACTCAGTGAACGATTACATAGGCATTCACATGAAAAGGTATCATTAAACAAAAAAGCAAATTATGATTAACATGATCCCACCAACATAAATATGTCCACTATGAAGTTTCTGTAGCAGTAACATCTTTCAAATAATTTAAGTTCAATTAAGCCCTCATACAAATGATAAACTTGACTGATCTGCATGCATGTGGCTTTACTGTGTATCTATTAGGAGATAAATGAATATACAGTCTATGCTCATTATACCACATCTAGGATCAATGCTCTTAGTATAAAGAGCCTTACGTGCATGATTTTACAAGACCAGGGGGTAAAAAATCATTTCCACGTGATTAATCTTGGATTATCAAAATATCAAGTAGCCTCAAGATCAAGCAATGTCTTAAATGTTCAGAATGGCTTCCCTGAAGTAGAACAAAGAAAACTACAATGTTACAAAAGAAGTTTATTGAAACTAAGTTTTCAATAGTAAAATGCATAACTATATCTAGTATCAACAGAGACTAATGAGCTGAAGTTTTTAGAAAACTAATTGACAGACATAGCAAAGCCTCCACATACAGGAATATTAGCTGAAATTTAAAAGGGAGTTTTGGTGGCCAAATGGTAACTGTTCTGCCGACTCTAAGGAGAGTGGTTCAAATTCATTAGCTGCTTTATAGTAAAAGATGGGCACTCTTGTCACCCGTGATTTACAGCCTCTGAAAACCCGCTGGCAGGTCAGCTATGAGTTGGTTCTGACTGGGCAGCACGTAAGGATAACAAGAGTTGAAAAATAAATATTTTCAGTTAGAAGCTAGTTCTCCAGATCTCACTTGAAGCAATTTAATCAGGCCAATAACTATACACAAATCCAACTATATTAAACATAATTAAGTGTACACTTTTGCCATAGACAATGCATCTTACACTGGACAGGTCTTTACACGTATCATCCTAAAGAACATTTTAATCCTCTTGTGGGACTAGTCCACTTCAGAGGAAGGTTGTGGCTGGACTTGAAAATGTTCATGTCACTTGACATCCACAACTGTCTATTTCATAGGACTGAAATGATCGTCAAGGTGCTGAGAGGAATTCACATTTGTGTTTGATGCTCGATTCACACCGTTAACCTTATCTGTGTAACTGAAACAGGCATCTCGTAGCTTTCCATGTTTTTAACTGTCTGAAGAACTTTTGCTCTAATTCTGAGGATCTCTGTGCCTCTGAAGGAGACATATCTCAGTCTGGAGTGAGAGTATCCACTGCTTTCGTGGAATAACATTCTGTTTCCACTGTCCAAGTGGTAATTCTGCCTATTAGCAGCTCCCTCTCTCCCTCCCTCCCTCATTTCTCTTTCTCTCTCTTCCTTCCTTTCTTTCTCTCTCTCATCTCTTCTTTCTTTTCTTTCTTTTTTCTCTCTCTCATCTCTTCTTTCTTTCTTTTCTCTCCTTCCTTCCTCCCTCCCTCCCTCCCTCCCTCCTTCCCTCCTTCCTTCCTTCCTTCCTTCCCACTTCTGTCTCCTACTAGCACTCACATTGCGTTTGCTGCATTTGAGGAGCATGGTCCACTTCACAGTAATGTTTTTTGGAAGGAAACTGAGCAGAAAGAGGATGCTACCGCATTCAAGAAGGGCAATACATATGGGACTGGATGCTGTTTCCTACCTGTCTAATCATATGGCAAATTTTTTAACAGAAAGTCCAGCACATACATGAACAATTACCACTGCAGTTAATTCTGCCTATCAGCTCAAACCGAGGCCAAGTCGATTCCAGCTCGTGGCACCCCAAGTATTTCTGAAAAAGCAATGCCTACATCTCAAAAACAACTCTGGCATCTCTAAAAGCTGAACAAGCCTGAGACTTAAAGGATCTAACAACTCATCCTGCATACTCACTTAAGACACATTCAGTTCCATCCGACTTTCTTCATTTCTATTTCACAAAGTAACTTCCCCCTAATGTCGCCACAAAACTAATCGGATTTGCTGTTGGCTCTTGCCAGAGCCTCAGGGCAACAGACGTTGCAAGAAGTGACAGTTCAAAATATTCCCAGAGAAAGATTAAGTGTCACTATTTCTACTTTGCAAAACTTCAGGAAAGACAAGCAGAACGGCCCATCCTGATGGCTACAGCCTTACTCTCAATACGACTGACTAATTAAGGAAGTAAATGCAACCTGACGAAATACTACAAGTCTATTCGCATAATTAAGGCACTATAGACACAAGCTTCTCAACAGCTAGTAGAAGTGACAAATAAAAAATAACTTAAAAAAACAAAACAAAAAACCACAGCCGTGGAATTGAGATGTATTTACATCTTTCATTTTGCTCTTTACAGCAACAAAGGATCTTGTATCACTGTAAAAAAATGAGAAACAAATATAGCTTTGAAGTAAATGAGGGAACTCCTGCCACTAACTAGTAGAAATGTGACCTTTTGGGAAAATAACTGCAGACTTTGCCTAGATCTAAAAAAAAGCACACTTTAAAAACAACAACAACAACAACAAAATGTTAAAACACATATTTTCATGCGAACAGTATCATTTATTTACAAATAAAATTTCTATCCTGTTCCTTTTCCCCATCTCCACCCCGCCCAGCACTGTTCACACCTGGCTGTGAAAATAGCTAATCCTTCTGAGAATGAGACAATTCTCCACTGGTCTCATTCGGGGGTTCTAAGAAACCAACTTTTCCATGTCCCCCAGTACAGCTTTATATATTCATTTTCTCTTGCAGAACGCTTAAATTCCAGACACATTTTTAAAAAGGACAAACACAATTGATCTTTTCATCACTACAATCTTCTGAAAAGGAGTTGATTGATGACTCTGAGGAACAATGGGGGGGGTGGGGGAAAAAAAGAGTTGGATGTCCTGGTGTTCTTTAAATTCTAATGTTCCCTTAGTGATTACAAAGTAAGTGATTAATATTTTGAACTGGCTCAGTCTGCCTATTACTCAAAAGCTAAAAAGAGCCATGTGTTATAAAAACAGCCAAGTGTTGGGCCAATAGCCTCAGCGTCGAGCTACAGATCATTAGCCTGTAAAGAACTATAAAAAGAAGGATGCCCAACCTAAATCCTTAAAATACCCTAATGAAAAAAAACCTCTAGCACCAACAAAATGTGTCAGTGTGTGTATTTCTGTGGTGCTGGGGAATGGTGGGTGTCATAGGTAGAAATTGCAAAATTCATTCAAACTAGTAACTAAAAGCAGGTGACTTGTGCCAAGTGGACCTTCACTTGGGACAGGGGGACACTTCAGGTTCTCTTCTTTACAGGAGAAGAAACCGGGGTACTTTAAGAGGGTCCAAAATCTCACTGTTTATTTCTTTACTATAAAGCCTAGATTTTTATTTCTTTCCTATAAAGTCTAGATTCTAATCAAACGTCGGCTGAACTAATGAAATCTCATCTAGGTTTTTGAAAACCTGGTGACTAGAACGTCCCTGCATTCTTCCACTATCAGGGTTTTATCCTTTTTTTATTATTTTATTAATTTGAATGAACATTTGCAGAGATTTTGGATTTCCATTCATTCACTGTTGCAGGGTTTTATTTTGAAAAAGCAAAAGCAGCGCTTCTTGGCACTGAAAACGTTCACTCAGTTGGACTCCTGAGCTCTCAGCTGACGCTGGGGGGTCAGGCTGAGGAAGCACCTACCTTCGCCGTCAACTTGAGGGTGATGTGATGCTCCCTACCAGACGCATCTTTGGCGGTTAACTTGATGGTGCAGAAGGAAGGATCCACATACACGAGTCTGAGAGGCAGAAGGAAACAAACAATGGTCACACACTGAAAGGAAAGGACGTGAGGGTGGTGGGACTCCAGCTGAAATTACCCGCTGTATTCCTATTAATCCTATTACAAAAATTAATCCGAGGAAGTCCTGCGTGGCAGCCGTTTCTGCCTCTCTAGATTTACGGGCGCCAGCACACCAGCCCTGCACTTAATACAGTCATAGATCTCCGGGTTATTTACGGAGCGTGTCAAGGCCCACACTGTGGTCAGTGAGCACTGAGACTTGGTTTTCCATCACGGGAACCTTTGGCACTCACAGCATGTTCCTGTCAGACTCTACTTATGTACACATTAAACTTCCTGTCAAACTCTTTGATCCATTTCTGTAGTTTCTTCCAGCACGAGACTTTTATGCTTCCTTTATTTGTTTTACTCCTCGATGAGCTTCTTCTCTATTATCAATATCGTAACTGTATATTAAAAAAAAACAAACACCACCACACCAACCTGACTGGTATCCGTTCATATGCTTCAACTGATCGTCTTAGGAAAATGCCGAGTAAGCAAAGGTAACCACCTCTTCTAACAGTAAATCACCTTTATATTCAATATATAGCCTGACACTTACCCTGGGAATGGATTAAAAATGACCAATATTTTAAGCTCAGAGCATCAGCATAGTTGTTTGGGCTTAAAGTTGTTCTAAATGCAGGAATTTCAACAACAGAAACCAATAGCCTTTGAAATACATCATTCTGGAGAAATATGGTCCCTTGAGTCACATAAGCTCCTGCCAAAAGGGTTCACATTCAGCAGTATTTTTGCCAGTGAACTGGTCATGTGGATATTTTTTTGACATTTTTACAATACTACTCGTCAGTAAAGATAAAAAGTCGTTTATAAAGGTATTGCACCACATCTCACCCAGACCAGTGGCCAAGCCTATTGGTGCTCTGAATGGCATTGGTTCCTAGGCTGGGAAACTTTCTTTTACTTTCACAATCTGAAACAGGACAATGACAAAGGATGACAAGAAAAACTGATGCCTTTGAGTTGTGATGTTGCACAGGAGAACTGAATACCCCACGGACTGCCAAAAGAACAAACAAGCCTGTCTTGGAGAAAAGTACAACCACGGTGCTCCTTGGAGGCAAAGCAGGTGAAGCTTCATCTCACATACCCTGGCCATGTTGCCAGGAGAGGCTACTCCTTGGAAAAAAGACATCAGCTTAGAAAGAGGGAGTTTCAGCATAAGAAAGGAAGACTCTCAACAAGATGGGTTGACACAGTGACTCACAGCAGAGACGACGCAGAAGGCACAGCATGGGACGAGGTTCAGAGCCACTGTTCACAGGGTCTCTACGAGAAATAGGTGGCTTGACAATACCAACAAGGTTACAGAATAGTATATGGCTGGTATACTTAAAAAAATTAGGGATATAAAAATACAGAAAACGTAAGAAAGCAAAAGAGAAAAAATTTTAAACTGTCAACAATAAGCCTGTGTTAAGACCATGGAATTGCTCTACAAATGACTTTTTTTTAAAAAGGTTCTAGTAGTTAAAAAACAAAAAGGGAAAACTATTAACTGATGTATTTTAGAATCTGGTAATATACATATAAGACAATTATAGTTACACGAGTTAAACATTACAATTTCCAAGTAAAGGAAGAGGTGACAGTAATATTGGAGAAATGTCTAGAATGTCTAGAAATGACTAGAAGGCATCCGACTATGTGGATTCTAACAAACTATGGCTAACATTGAGAAGAATGGGAATCCCAGAACACTTGATTGTGTTCATGTGAAACCCAGACCAAGAGGCTGCTGTGCGAAGAGAACAAGGGAACACTACATGGTTTAAACTTAAGAAAGGTATGTGTCAGGGTTGTATTCTCTCTCAACATCTATTCAGTCTGTATGCTTAGCAAGTTATTCAAGAAGCTGGGCTCTATGAAGAAGAATATGACATCTGGATCAGATGAAGACACATTGAATTATACAGAGGACATAAACTTGCTTGCTGAAAGTGAGGAGAACTTGAAGTACTTGCTGAATAAGATCTATTTTGAAGGCTGCAGTCCTTGACCTTCTGCAGCAAGCGCTCCAGGTCCTCCCCAGTTTCAGCAAGCAGGGTTGTGTCATCTGCATAATGCAGTTTGTTGATGAGTCTTCCTCCAATCTTAAGGCCACACTTCTCATAGAGCCCAGCCTCCTGGATAATCTGTTCCACATATAGATTGAAAAGGTATGGAGATGGCTTACATCCTTCCCAATTTTGAACCATGTTGTGTTTCGTTGCTCTGATCTCACGACTGCCTCCTGGTCCCAGTACAGGTTTCACATTAAGCACAGTCAAGTGATTCTCACTAATCTCAGAGTCATCCACAGTTTCTTGTGATCCACAGAGTCAAATGCCTTTGCACAGTCCATAAAACACAGATAGACATTCCTCTGGTAATCTCTGTTTTCAGCCAAGATCCATCTAACATTGGCTGCACTATCCTTAGTACCCCAGCCTCTTCTAAACCCAGCCAGCACTTCAGGCAGTTCTCTGATGTGCTGTTCCAGTCATTTTTGGATCATCTTCAGGAGAATCTTGCTTGTATGTTGCATCAATGATATTGTTCAATAATTTCCGCACTCTGTCGGGTCACCTTTCTTTGGAATGTAGAGTACTGGAAATCCCATGCACTGCCAAAAGATCAAGCCTATCTGTCCTGGAGAAGGTGCAGCCAAGAGTGTTCACTGGAGGCAAAAACGACAACTCTTCATCTCACATAATTTAGCCATGTGTTAAAAGAGCTTCACCTCACATACTTTAGGCATGTTGCCAGAAGAAGCGATTCCTTGGAAAGGGACATCATGCTTGGCAACATAGAGGGTCAGCGAAGGAGAGGAAGACCCTCAACCCCACAGACTCACACAGTGACTGCGGCAATAAGCTCAAGCGTGTCGGAGATGATGAGGACGTCACAGGATATAACAGAGCTCAGAGGTGGTGGGGATGGTAAGGAAGGCACAGGACAGGACAAGCTTCAGATCTGTTATAGGTTCTCTACAAACCATGCTTGACTCTACCTAACTACAACAAAGCGAAATATATAAGGAAGGAGATTACGACACAAAAATAATTATTATTTTATTATTATATAATATAGGAGTAGAGATCCGGTATAGGGTTAAACCAAGCAACTCCTTGGAGGCAAGGATTCTGGGGCTTCGTCTGACATACTTTGGGCATGCTGCAAGGAGCGACAGGTCCTGGGAGAGGGACATCATGCTTGGGAGGGTGGAGGGACAGCGCAGGAGAGGAAGGCCCTCTATGAGGTGGATTGATTCAGTGACTGGGGTAATCGGGATGGGTGTGTCAGAGGCAGTGCAGTTGGCACAGGATAGAGCAGGGTTTAGGGATGCTGTACACACGGTCGCTATGAGTCGCAAACGACTCGACGGCACATAACAACAACAACAACAGGAGTAGAGAGCTCTGATGGTTGAGTAATAACGGGCTGTGTTCCCAACTCTCAAGCATATGATTCTTATCTCCAGCTGCTGCATGGGACCAAGATGGTCAATCTCTTCCTACAGGATTTACTGCCTCTCAAAACCCACTGGAAGGTCAACCATGAGGCGATTCTGCTTCAGTGCTGCCTAATATATAGGAATGCAAAGAAAGAAGAAATTCCATCTTTTTTTTGAATGGACAATGGGAAAGTTTAAGAAATGCTAACACCAACTGAAAGCAGAATAAAAACAATAAAAGGAGAAAGTGATATGAAGTAGTACTACTTATAAGCTGTGTTCTTTAGAGAATTGTAATTCTCTAAATTTAATAAATCAAGAAATATTAAATACAGGCATATTATTTTGAAATTTAGACCCTGGAGAACATTTCAGTGTCTTTTTGTACAAAGAATCACACATTCATCAACATGTTTTCAGAGACTATACAATGCATGAGAAGCGATTGTCCATCCTAAGCAGATAGGGGATTTGAACCTCTGACCCTCAGGTTGGCAGTACAACCCCCTATCCCCTAGGCCACCAGAAGTCACAGAAAAGTATTAGGAATTGAGCAAGAAATTGAAGAGAGTGGGGTGGGGAGCCAACAACCCAATCACCAACTAGCACTCCGTGCCTTTTTCACAGATCCTCATAATCCAAATATTTAAAATCACTATTGAACATGTATAATCTAAGACAGAAATAAACAGTCTCTAGACTTTGCAAACAACATACAAACGTAAAAATTATCATTCCACAAAGTTAAGAGCACAGAATACATTACAGAAAAACTGTGGTATGCTCAAAATATGGTCTGCCAGTCAAAGCAACTATAAATTTTGTTAAACTTTAGAATTCAAATGATAACATAAAAAAATATTTAACATTTCATGCTAATCCCAATATGGTCATTTAAAAGTAAGATCATTTATCCACTCCTTTTTCTTGCTACTTTGAGAGGTGAAGAGAAAGTTTAGTAATATTAAGTCTGAAATACTTGGAACACATCTGCATTCCCAACTGCTCTCTGGAAGTCATTCTTCTATTAGCAAAATAATCCCTCACCATGCCCCACCTCACTGCATCTGAAAGGTGGACGGTGAATAAGGATGACAGAAGGATCGATATCAGGGGAGCTCTGGTGGCCTAGTGGCAAGAAGCTGCACTGCAATCCCAGAGATAGGCAGTTTGAATCCACCAGATGCTCTGCTGGAGAAGAACGGGCAATCTCCTCCTGTACCAGTCAGATCTGATTTGACAGTACACACACAGACACACACACACACACA